AGGTGGGGTGGGATAGGGGGTGGGGCGCGCGCAGCGCGCCGTGCCAAAAACACTTGCGACTTACGTGTTTAATCAACTTTCTCAGCCTGTATCTCCGAAACTATTTGAGTCCCCCCCTTATATATATATGAAATGACTCGGGAAGACATCCCCAACAACATATTTAAAAATAAAACAAATCGGAGAGGAAGTCGCTTTTATGCATAATTACCACGTCAACAAATAGGGACCGCCGAATTTTAAAAAGGATTATGGCGAAGCAACATAAAACTACCGCGGCACAGGTGACAGCAGAACTCAACAGTCACCTGAACAATTCTGTTTCGACAAAAACAGTACGGCGGGAGCTTCGTAAAGGTAACATTTATGGCAGGGCTGCAATTTCAAAACCTCTCATAGCGGATGCCAACGCGAAGCTGAGAAAGAAGTGGTGCCACGATCGTAAAACTTGTACAATTTTTCTGTGAGTGACTGAACAATGTCGGCAACGAAATTGTTATACAACGGCGTGAATTTGCCAATTTTAATTCGGTACGATTTTTCAGGATCGCATCGTGCAGCTTCTGCTGCGTTTACGATTAGCCGTGACTCATGGTGTTTTCGGTGTAAACTCGATGTACACCACATTGCGGGAATCACGGGGAAAACGCTAGTTAGTCCCTCAGGCTTGCAGGATTAGATAGCACTTAAGCCTGACTTACGCGGGGTCTTCGGGAGTAGCCTGACAGTGAGTAACAGTTCGGCGCATTTTCTAAGGAATCGCGCGCGCAGCGCTACGGCGAGAATAAATCGTTGCTGTTTCGCCGTAATTAATCGCACCGGCGCCGGTGAAATATTGTCTTCGTTAAATTATCGCGAGAATTCATTGCCTGGCGATCTGCCGTAAATTAACGTCATTACGACATAATAGCGATCCGATTGAAATAATTCCACGACGGAGAATCCTTCTTTATTCGCTTCGGGAGGATTGTAGGACGGTAGCAATGGCATTGTATATAATCCTTATTAAATTATCGCGAGAAGATTCGTTCGTTCCGCGACGATTTGTAGCAAATTAACGCACGCTGCGACGTAACGGGAATCGATTTCAAATACTCCAGCAGTGAAAATCTTTTCACGATCTTTGAATGGAGTCTTCGTTAAATTGTCCCGAAAATTGTATCCCCGACTTGTCGGAAATTTAGTAAAGAATACGAACTTTTAGATACTTCTAATAAAAAAAAAATCACATTTATAGAAAACAGTATAAAAAAGTTGAATTCAGAAGAAAATTAATTAATGCTTATTTATTTTATGTGAATTATTTAACATATACTGCCGTAATATCTTTCTTGATAAATATCGATACGATAATGGATTTTCATTCAATGCTTTTCCCTAACGAAACGTGCGACCGCGATGAAAAATTGCGAAACAACCGTCGCTCTTTCTTTTTTTTTTTATATTCATTTGCATACGGAGCGGAGAAACGCGAATGAAATCGGATTTAGGATTCCATCAGGAATTCCACACTCGAAACTTTCCAGCGGAAACCATATTAAATTGCACCGACATTTTCGAGAGACATTTCGAATGTATGATAAAATGGACACGCCGGAAGTAATATTGCTCCGCTAAATTGATTTGAGATCGTTGTTTTGAAGTGGCAAACGAAGACATCAAACACAGAAGCGATATATGAATTTAAAATGCAATGCTCAATTCGCTGAGTGCAAATAAGAACATAGAGCATTTCACAATGTTCCTCCGCCAATTTCGATTTAATGTCAACAAAGGCGATATTACTTTCATTCAAATTAACGTTAATTGTGTGCGGCTTTCCACAAAGGGATTGTTCGTATTTGAGTTTTCCCTCGACGTGCGCTAGAGACTTCGCGAAATGCGCAATGTGGTAAAATCACCAGCACTGACGAATCGGATATTATGTAGCGACAAATTTGTTCACATTGTTACGAAACTTCCTTCGCATGTAATTTCATTGTGCATCATACACACACCGGAAGTGTACAGAAGCGCTGCGTGGAATAACAAGAGAATTAATCACAGTCATATTTTGACGTCTCGCATACGCGGTAAGTAAACAAACTTAGTCGAGCAATTTTAATGAAGATAAATTGCGAGCCCGTGCTCGCAGCCCTTCAATAGCCAAGATAAATCGCATTTTCTTGGGCGACTGAATAGAATGATAGATTCTGCATCCCCGGCCGAAGAAAATGCTATTATCTCTCCCCCCGTAAGATAATTTTCTTTATATTTCTTTTTTTTATTAATCAAACCCGAGCTCTGATATCGCCCAACATGTTGCTTGGGAAAAGAAACGGATTGTTAAAAATTTCGACGATTATTGTGGTTTATCAGTCGCGGAAATTTTTGGAATGTCGAGCGTCGAACGCTGAGCGCCGGTTCCGAAAAATAACGTTGCGCCGTAAACGAAACAGTCTATTCTCGTTGTGCCTAAGTAATCACGCGGCGACAGTCGAACGTATGGCGTAAAGATACAAAGTGAAGCAATCTGGTGGATGCGCAGTGCCAACCAATCAGAAGTGGCCCAAACTACCGAATTGACCAATCGGAAATTTGCCCCAACCTGGCAAACTGCAAATCATTGCGGCTGAATGCAGGAAGAACCAATGAACAATTTACAAAGTAATTGTAATTACAAAGATTTAATTTTCCTTTCGTTTTCCTCCGACTGAGCCTCGCGAAAACTTTATCACGGAATTTCGTGCAAGATCAGATTTCAATTTCGTATATTTTCAAAAATTATTTGAAATTAAGAAAATATGTTATAACTTGTCAAATATATTTTCTCTGTATTGACGTTATCGTATTTGTCGATTTGCAAAATATTGTATTTATAATTACATAATTTTCGGAGAATTCTGAAATATTCCTATTTTCCATTGACAAATTCGAGGTGATACCCGTAACGTTTATCTTCCCCATCTTCCACCTCTTTCCCGTGTTACTGCGGTAGTCGCGATCTGTAATCATCAGCCTCGCGGAGCACGTCGTAAAAGCAGTCCATAACATAATTCATAACCTGGTGATTAAGATTTAAGGAACGTAATTACAATGTAAAGCCGATGTCGGGGCAGTGACCTGAGAGAAGACGCTTTTCCGTTGTCATTAAATAAACATTAAATGACAGAAACAACCGCATCCGCGCCGGAGATTACATTGTGAGTTCCGAGAGTTTTTAAAAGAATTTCATTAAAATATAAGCCCGGCGCAGTGCCGGCGAAATGATCTCGCGCCGTATCTCTCGAGGGTCCATGCGTTGCCGCGGTCGGTCGATTACTCGAGTCGTCGGTGAAAGAGCGAGAGACGTAGAGGATGTACACAAATTTAATTAAAAATTAAGTCGCAGAGCTTAGAGGCTACGACGGAAACTTTGTAAACGGCCTCTTCCGCCCGACTCTTGCTCCGCCGGCATTTCCCTCCCGGTAGGAGGATCTCCACTCGCAGAGACAAGCGGGAAAATACGAGGAGCAAGAGGAACGTCCGCTAGACGGCAATAAATCGTAGCAAAGTATCGGCTTACACGCACCAACGAGGAGAAGAGGCTCGCGGCAGATCGTACGTTTATATTCGCTCCGCGGAAACAAACCGTGTGCTCCGAAGGACGTTATCGAAACACCGGAATGCACACGTCAGTCGCATGTATTCGGGACGCTCAGGGTGAATAAGAATTTACGATTCCGACATATCACACCTTTACACCATGGACATGCCGAAATTCAAGCGGCGACTGGAGACTGATTGCGACTTTTTTTTTAACGAGAATTACATCGTCCGCCAAGAAACTCGCCAATTCCGATATTATCACTTACTTAATTAAATAAATCGCCAATGTCCAAAGATCAATGTCAACGACCTTAGAGATTTTCGAGATCGGTTTCAATTCACCTCGGGAATGGAAACGTGCTCGAAGATTTTCGCGCCGAGTGCTGGAAGCTGCGGCTACACCGAGAAACCGTGCACGAAAACGCATCTGCGAGGGACGAGGGGACGAACGCGCGGTCAATTCAGCTGCGACGAGTCTCACTCACCTTCCTGCTCGATCACGAAGATCTGATAGTCGATCTGCTGGCGCAGTAGAATCGGATGCAGATTGTAGAGGAGGGCCTGCAGATGCTGCGGTCGGTCGCGAAATGGAATAATTATGGCGACGCGATGCCTGGCGACGCAGTCCGCGGGCCGACCCGTCCCGCCCGCCTTCACCTCCATGAATGACCTCTCCATCTCGGACAACGGTGGCGGTGACTTACTGACGACCACCGGTCCAACTGAGAACGGAAAGAACAGGGGGTTGAAGAAGAGACGGGAGTAACATCGGGAGAAGCGCGGCGAAGAAAGAAATGCAACGTATGTCTCACTTTTGCCCAATGGGCTGAATTTATAGCATCAAGAATTATTTGACGCCAGTACACGACTAACAATAATTAAGCGTTCAATCGACCGTAACTGGCAATATGTTTTTGACGCAGAAAATTTATCGCGAAAAATATTACCTCAGCCAGGGTTTGAACCTGGACCTCCCTGCACTCCAGCCGGGCGTCTCACCAATTTAACCACATTATATGCCTCTGCGGTCGAATTGGTGAGACGCCCGCCTAGAGTGTAGGTCCAGGTTCAAACCCTGGCTGAGGTAATATTTTTCGCGATAAATTTTCTGTGTTAAAAACACATTGCCAGTTACGGTCGATTAAAAGCTTAATTATTGAATTTATAGCGTTCGTTGCTCCTACAATAAAAATGGGACGTCACAGCTACTTCTTATGCGGATATCGGAACGCGATTATTAATAAATTTTCTACATTTCTATTTTTAATATCGATCTGTTTACCGCGATATTTCATTCCCGGGTTCAGGTGCAGCGAAATCGTAAAACACAGTTTCAGAGCGATTTCGCGATACGCGGGTTACAAATTTGAACTCCCCGAGATTGATTACGGATGAATAAATCTCAATTTTGTTTTCACTCACCCAAATTCGGGGGGATAAGGGGACACCGTGGCAGCGTCGCGTTGCTGGTCGCGTTTGCCACCGGAAGCTCTCGCGTGGTTCCACCGGCGGCGACCAGGTTTCTGACCGGTACCGACTCGGTTCTGGATGAGTTCGATAGGCCCTTGGCCAGTATTGGGAGCAGCGTCGTCGAGGATACATTGCCACCCGCGGCTAAACTCGGCACGACCGTGGCTTGACCGTATATGATCAAACCGCGCGGGTGGGTTCTGTACGAGCGATCCGCGTATCTGTAATACAGAAAGAAAACGAGTAAGAAACATCATGTAAACGTGCACGTGAACACGTTAAAAGTTACATTAAAACGCTGCGACAAATAAGCATCGGTGATTTGGCTTGATGGGCTCGATGGTGACATCTCGCGCGATGGTATCTGATTGTAAGGACAACTTTGTAATTACAGTGGTAACATTTGCATGGATTAACTCGCTGTCACAGCTGCACTTCTTTTCGCGTGTCTTTCTCGTGTCACGTATAACCTGACGTTAATCGTAAAACCATATTAAATGCTAATTGGCGATCGATTTACATTAGCGATTCCAAAATTAATGTCGGGCTCGCGAGTATATCGCTTCCCGCGTAACACGTACGCATCCGGGAGCCAATTATTATCTATTGATTGCACATCGCGGGCAGCTACATACAGCTATTACAAGGCTGACTGTGCAACGCTTCCTCTAATTGAGAGAGCGATGTTCAGCGATTAGAGGACCGTTCGACCGTCTAATTGCGACAAAGATTTGTGCTTCGAAGTCGAGAATTTCTAACTCAATCGAACATAGCAATAGTGTCATTTATATTCAAACTGCTTCCAAAACAAATTACGTTTACGAGGAGGCTGCAGAGTGAATACTTCTAGTTGTGCTCTCTTGCGAACTCAGTAAGAATTTCCCTTTAAAAACGACCCTTTGGCTATTCCTAATTTCTCTAAAAGAATATTAAATCAATAGTTTATTAATTTGTGAGCAATGATGTTAGAACAAATTCATTTATTCGTTGTATTTCGATATACAGGGTGGTCTAAAAGTCCCGGAACGGTTGAATATCCCGAGAAATTGTGGGTGGATCGGAAAACGGAAAAATACGTATTTCCTATTTTTGAAAGAGCTATCGAATGATACCAAAATTGACCCCCCACCCCCACCCCTGTGGGTGGGGCGGGGGACAACTTTAAAATCTTAAATGGGAACCCCTACTTTTTATTGCAGATTCGAATTCTACGTCCAAAAACACGTAAATTTTGTCTAAACCTTTTTTTTCGATTCCTGATAGATGGCGCTGCATTCGGCGAAAATAATAACGTCACCGTATGATCTTTCTCTATCACCAAATCCCCGCATCATGAGAATTGTTATTCTTTCCCTCTCTGACAATGCCATTGTTGACAGTATAATGAAGTAAAGAATTTTCTAAACTTTTCCTATTAATACTCTAATAAAGTCTGCAAATAAACTTTAAATTGTAATAGAAATCCCTAAAATATTCCAAGATGAATAAGGTGTTTCCGGTTCAAGAGGTAGACTGTGAATGAATTTACTCAAGCACCCCAAAGTATCCCGAAATGAATAAGTGTTTCTTGTTCAAGAGGTGGAATGTAAATGAATTTACTCAAGCATCCCAAAGTAATAAGATGATAATCACGGGATGATACCGTGGGATCACCTGATCCTGTGGAATCATGGGTTGATTCCGTAGGATTATCTAATTCCCATCAATTCAACTGGAAAATCTAATCACATGTTAGTTTTTCGATCTGATGCGCGATTCTCGAAAATATTGAAAAATGTCATTTTTGCGTTTTCAGCGCCATCTATCAAGATTACAAAAAAATGTTTCAGACAAAACTTACGTACTTTTTAACGTGGAATGCGAATCTGGTATAAAAAGTGGGGGTTCCCATTTTAGATTTTAAAGTTGTCCCCCGCCCCACCCACAGGGGTGGGGGTGGGGGGTCAATTTTGGTATCATTCGATAGCTCTTTCAAAAATAGGAAATACGTATTTTTCCGTTTTCCGATCCACCCACAATTTCTCGGGATATTCAACCGTTCCGGGACTTTTAGACCACCCTGTATGATATAAGGAAACATATTCACACGATTTTTCGTTGAACTATACAATAGCTGCAATAAATACTTTTATTTAATATTACCCCGGTTTTCAACAACGTCGTTTAACTTTGATCTTACTTTGATTCGACCTTTGTGTCTTTTTGTGTTACAGTTGAGCGGGTGGAAATGGGTCTTAATACAAGTACATCGCTTAAAATTTTTGGGAACTTTGAAAAATTCTTGAAAAAGCTGACAAATTTTTGGAAATGCCGAAAATTTCTTGGAATCTTGCGAGAAATTCTTGGAAATGCCGAAAAACATTTTAGTAATAGGGAAATGTTTAATAACCATTTTGGTTATGATTTACAATTACAGGATTCTTAATGAAATTCTGGCCGCGCAAAATTCGGGCTAAATCTTGGTTCAAAATAGGTAGAGGCTTAGAAGGAAAAAAAGGAATATTAGTTTAGTCAAAAAATGCAGTAGAATATATTCACAGTTAAGATGATCTCAGAAACTGACAAAGCCGAATTCAATAAGGTTAATGCCATTAAAGTTTTATTAAATCGTGGAAAGTCAGGAAGACGACGATACACCCCGGTGTAACGACTCGCTCGCAGAATCTCTGAGAATTAAACCGGATACCGACTCATCCGGCGGCGTTTCCCTTGCTCATCTCGCAAAAATTTCCCGACCTCTCTACCTCGGCGTAAAGACCTCCTAGGAAATTTTATGCGGCGGCACGGCCTCGAACTTTAAAAGTGATTTTCTCTGGCCGCGAGCGTTTACTGCATCTTTGCGCCAGTTTTTTTTCCTTAATTCTAAGTCCAGAACGACTTACGTATATATCTTCTAACTCAATTGCGACAGCAGTTTGCTTGAATGCCATATAAATATTCGAGAGTACTCGAGAGAGCTGAGCGCTTTAAAAAAATCTATAATTTTAAATTTTATATTAGTGTTATTTTAAATCCACATTACTCGTTAATAACATTATAAACTGAAAAGTCTTAACGAGCTTTAAAACTACAGAACCTTAGAATTGTGTAGGATAAACTTTTCTAGTGATTTTACGCTTGAAGAAAATGGACTTTGCTATAATCGCGATTGCGTATAATGATTTTATCATTATTTGTAAATGAAACTAGTTTAATTTCATTCGAGATACATTAATTTTAAAGGTAATTTACAAAGTACTGGAATTTTGATACATCTATTTCGTCTAATAAATTATTCTTTCCAAGATTTTCCATTTTCTCTTGTTTCCACGTTTCTCCGAGAAGACAAACGAATTTTTGTCCAGTAAATTGACTCGATTCTCTTACGACGAACCTTAAAATCGAAAATCGTACGGGTACCTTGACGTGAAACTTGACTAGTTTTCCGGTCCGCTTTTGCGTTCTAATTCACTTAAGGTTTACGACGGACCAAAGTACGCGGCAAGAAATTACGACAAACTTGATCCACGCAAGACGACATCTCCTCTCGGTTGCCTCCTCGATGCGCTTCGTTCGTTCCTCTCTCTTCTCGCTGCGAGAGCGTCAGCGAATTTCCCGAGTTTACGAGCCGGTCCGCTTGCAGTTGCAATTTCCGGGACTGCCGCCGGCCACCGCTGCGACTGCAATCTAACGTCCTTCCCTTCCTCTTTCAAGCGCATGCAACGGATAGGTCGCTACGTGCAAAATCATGAGACAGCGCTCACAGTATTCCTAGTGTCCGTGACAAAGGCCCGCGATAAGCTAAATAGGGACTCAAGCGCGCGACACCGTGGTTTTAGTACATTAAAGCTCGGGATACCATTCGCCATTCTACGACACTGTAGCGCCGAGGCAAGAAAATTACGTGAAATGAAATTTAAGAGAGACCAAATTTTCTTTCGGCAATAAACTCTGGATACATCTAAAATTTTATAACCAGCAGGAATTTTCAGTCTAACAGGATTTATCTAAGGAATCGTGCAATTGTGAAAAAAAATCTCAGTCGCGAAAGTATTTATACTTTTATGTAATAATTAATTAACTCTTACGTAAAAATAACTAATAAAGTATACGATGTCCGTGTGTTGGACATATATATTTAATAATAAAAATTAAGTAGAGCGGAATCGAAATAAGAACAAAATACCGCGAACTACATTTGATTTTGTACGATTGATTTCAATTTCATATCAAAAGAACTTAAGTGTTTTTTGTTATCATATCTGGCATTTTTAATCTTTAATTGTCGCAACGTTTCGACCATGGTTTGTGGTCCTTTTCAAGCGAACTAAGTAACGTAATGGACGTAACATTAGGCTTGTTTTCTGTTCCTACACTAGTGAACTAGTGCAATAAATTGGAGTAAGACAAGCATATTTTTTCTCATTCTAGCTTACTGCACTAGTTCACCAGTGCAGGAACAGAAAACAAACCCATTATGTGTATATCGCTCGTCCATACGAGACTGTGTTTGTGGTCGCATAAATGTTGCACACGTTCTATGTAATTGCGTGACAAGAGACAACTTCGTTCGAGGAGTGACAAAGGATAACGTAATTCCTAAAATATGAACACTGCCTTTCTATTTATCTGATAATAGCCTGGTCAGTTGATCAGCGGCTGGTAAACGATGATCGTTTCTGTCGTCACGTCACGTTTACTTCGCATCACTTGTTTCCCTTATTTTCGCCGTGGCGTAACTTTGGCGTTGAGCGAGCAAAGTTTAGACTGTGGTTCGCTTGCGGAACGATTACATGAAAGTCGGCGAAGTTACGGGCCACAATGTTGATCGGTTTTCATGAGAAGGCATCTCGCGATAAGGGCCGGTGCGAAAGTTGCGGCAGGTGTGTGCAGGTGGATTCTATTTGCATGCTACGTTCTCTCTCGACGTTACGCCAACGGCGAGCCTGTTTACGAAGATTTTTGAAGCCGAGATAGAATCACCTCCGCAATCTCGCGTGACGAGAAAATTTACAATCTAATAGAACTTGGTGCGAAACAGAGCAGACTGCGTCAGAGTCAACGAATAATCGTTCAGAGAACATTAATCTGAGCATTAAGTAGAGTAAAACTCGTATAAATAATAATACGTATAAACATATTGCAGATATAACAATTAACGTTATGAAAAATGTCAAGAAAACTTTTCTTATAACAATTTATGTGCGAAACAGGACAGACTGCATCGAAGTCAACGAATAAT